CCTCAGCGTGCTTCATGCCCAGACACGAGAGGCAGCGATCGTGACCATCACCCGGCGCCAGGTAACGACTGCACCCAGAAACACACGGATGGTACGACATCTTTAAAAAGACGTTCCACCCGTGAAGCTCTTTTAGATGGAAATTGCTCTTTTAGTGTGCTGATGCGCACAGGGGAGATGGCCGTCTGCAACACACACAGGGGTAGTGCAGCCTGTTGTGTGCAACCCACTCGACACGGGAAAACCACCGCCGCTGAAGCGCCGTACCACCAGCACGAGAGCCCACGAAGAGCGTGCTTGACTGTAGTTTTCACTACCGTAGACTTAGGTCAGGAGCAGAACGATAGAACCGCTCGGCTCCGAAGCGAAAAGCTGAATATGCGCTGTATCTGCTGCCTACTTATACTCACGCTTTGATCAGCAGCAGCTGGATGCAATAAACGCATGTCAATGTGCATTGGCTCGTTTAGTGTACACTCGAAGTAGATTGGTCTCTCTAAGCGAGATCCCAATTCGTCGGTCATCCGTGAAAGGGAACTGGTGTTACTTATTCGAAAAAGTAACTCAGATATTTTACTGTAAATTAAACTAATACTTTACAAGTTACTTTACTTGTAATGTATTAAACCCAACACTAGAAATAGGCACACGGGTAAATGTAACTAAAGTCATCAATTGTGAATTTAAAAAAAAAAAAAGGTTGAAAAAATTATTAATTTTGAAGAATGCATCAGCTGCAGGGAATTTCTTTGAGTTATCAAATAATTCAGGTAAAAGTAACTACAGCATATGCATGTCCCTGATCAAGCAAAAATAATTATGGCGCAGATATATGCATAAATAATCATAGAAAGTTTTGTAAATAATATGTAATAATATGAATATTTCAAACTGTTTAGTCTATTTCATTTTCCTGGATCTGCACATCTGCTTCAGAAACAGACGATTAATACAAACAAGCTGAAAACTGCTAGTGATCATCACTGTCATAAATACAAGAACATCAGAGCCATTTTACACTGTAGTCTTGATAATATCAAGATGATACAGACTACAGTTTTGGACATATTTGTGTAAATCTGACGTTACAGACTGGATCACTGAGAGAGGAAACAATCTCCTCACAGAGCACGGAATAAGCAACGCTGGTGTTGTTTTCCACTTTCTGAATAGAACCATGAGGAAATCAATTGACCGACCACTTCAGCACATATTTCCTCTACAGTAGTATTGGTAGTTTCTTTGAGTTTGTGAACAGACTGTCCGTCCATCATTCATAACTGACGAGTGACAGATGAACACGAACAGATCTGCTTTCTGCTTCAGTCTACACAATAAATGATGCATTAAACCTACATCTGATACCAAACTCAACCCACATCATACAGCATTACCACTTCACATTTCTACATTACCATAACATTCTTTAACATTATGCGTCATGATTTTCTTATTACAGTTCAGAAATTCATATAAATGATATGTAAATATAAATTATGTAAAATTAACATTTATGCATTTGGCAGACACTTTTATCCAAAGCAACATTCATAGAACATAGAAGGAAATGAATAAATATGAACTAATAATCCATATATGATTCATATAAGAAACAATTCATAATTCATATAATACAAATATAGTTATATTATAAATCAATTATCCTATAATTATATTTTATATAAATAAAATACAGAATAAAAAAAACCCTTCATTTGTAATATTTCATACTTCAAAGTTCTGATAAAGAAATCCTTCAATGACAGTTCAGCCTAATTAGTTTAATATAAATTAATATTTTTAAATAAATATCAAATTTACATTTACTCATATAAAATACTGTATATTTCCTAATTTATTAATTAAAATATTTCAGTGTTCCTTTATGAAATGTTCGAAATAGGCCACTATTACTTTTTACTGCAAAAATGTGATATATAACATACATGATATTACATTAATTATTATCAATTGTGAAAATATGACAGTACATATAGTATATAATAAAATACATTTCAATATTTCTAGTGAAACCCTTTAAAGACTCCAGTCACCAAAATTAGCTTTATTTCATGAATTATTTATTTGTTTGGGAACAATAAGAAAGCTAACAAATTCAGACCAAAAAGCATAATATACATTATAATAAATAAGCAATTATAAAAATGACATAAAATATATAATGAAATACATTTCTAAATTTCTGTAAATGAGCTTCGTTTAATTATTTATATATTTGTTTGTGAAAAATAAGCAAGTTCATGCACGATGTGGCTTGGAAATAATGTATAAGTCAGTTCTACATGTCAGACTCCATTAATCTGTGTGTAATTTGGTTTTGAGAGCTAAATGTGAAACTGAAGGCATTATGGAGAGACAGACGGTGTGTGTGTGTGTGTGTGTGTGTGTGTGTGTGTGTGT